TATATATATATATATATATATATATATATATATATATATGATATATATTATGCTTTGACACAAACACAAGTTTACATTTGTAAAACATAATTAATCCAGGGTAATCAATAAATTTCAAGGTATCTCTTAGATTTTTTTTGTTTACATTTTTATAGCTGTATAATATTAATAATATTAAATATTAAAAGATTAAAATTATGAAACTATGATTTAATACCATACTACTTTTTCAAAAATGTAAAATTACTCATATACACCCACCGGCCACTTTATTAGGCACACCTGCCCAACTGCTTGTTAACGCAAATTTCTAATCACATGGCAGCAGCTACATGCGTTTAGGCATGTAGACATGGTCGAGACGATGTGCTGCAGTTCAAATTGAGCATCAGAATGGGGAAGAAAGGTGATGAAAGTTAGGGGTTCCCAACTTTTTTCACTTCAGGGCCCACATCTTTCTCCAATCATTTGTTGAAGGCCCACCTGTCTGACATGCTGATTTATTTATTACAATTATATATATAAAATGCATTGCGCCTTCTAATATTTTCTATTATCAGTATTTTATAAAACAATGTATAAAATCATTTAAATTTAATTATGTATGAAACTAAAACTCAAAAATATACATTATATATTAAAACTAGGAGATTGCAAAAGACCAGCTTTTGCTTTAAACTGGACTGACTGAGTATCTATTAAATATCTACTATCCAAAAATATACAGACAAATGTAGAACACAACAAAACACCCTCAATCTGTTGGCGCCAATAGCCTAGTGGTTAGTGCGTCGACACATAGCACCGAGGCACTCGCAGCAACCCGAGTTCGATTCCCGTCTCGAGGTCCTTTGCTGATCCTTCCCCTATCTCTGCTCCCCACACTTTCCTGTCTCTATATGTCCACTGTCCTATCAATAAAGGTGAAAACCCTTTAGGTAAAAAAAAAAAACTCAATCTGTTGATAAGCGTCAATCTGATGGCGGTTGAGTTTGCAGCTGGATATTATTGGGAGATCACTGACAGAAACAGTGAACAAGCTCATATGCAGGTTTATTTACAGTCTATGGTAGAAACACCATTGAGCCTCCCTAGATCTTCCTGTATAGACGTGTGTCCATTATAAAGCATTCACAGGAACTTAATTTGGACAACTATGCAGATTTATTTAATAGTTCACACAAAAATGCACAAAAAGAGACTTTCACTTTCACTTCACGCATAGTTTGTGAATGAACAGACTTGCAGAGTTGCAGACGCGATCATGAGGCTGTTTTTGCACTGAGTTTGAAATCATCAATCAGAGAAAAGGAGAAGCTGCATTACTTCGATCGTTTTAATATAGCATATTATAATGATATACAAAAATTATAGTATAATATTAAGAATTCATTTTAATCTCGCTGCGGCCCACTAGTTGAGAATCCCTAATTTTAGTGACTTTGAACCTGGCGTTGTTGATATTCATGCACAACCCTTTCTAGGGTTTACAGAAAATAGTCAGAAAAAGAGAAAATCTCCAGTGAGGGGCAGTTCTGTGGGTGCAAATGCCTTGTTGATGTCAGAGGAGAATGGCCAGACTGGTTCCAGCTGATAGAAAGGCAACAGCAACTCAAATAACCACTCGTTACAACCGAGGTCTGCAGAAGAGCATCTCTGAACACACAACATGTCCAAGCTTGAGGCAGATGAGCTACAGCAGCAGAAGACCACACCGGGAGCCACTCCTGTCAGCTAAGAACAGGAAACTGAGGCTACGATTCACACAGGCTCACCAAAATTGGATAATAGAAGCCTGATGTGTCTCGATTTCTGCAACATGAAAGCATGGATCCATCCTGTCATGCATCAACCGTTTAGGCTGGCGGTGGTGTAATAGTGTGGGGGATATTTTCTTGCCACACTTTGGGCCCATTACTAACAATTGAGCATGGTGTCAACACCACAGCCTACCTGAGTATTGTTTGCTGACCATGTCCATCCCTTTATGACCACAGTGTAACCATCTTCTGATGGCTACTTCCAGCAGGATAACGCACCATGTCAAAGCGTGAATCATCTCAAACTGGTTTCTTGAACACGTCAATGAGTTCACTGTACTAAAATGGCCTCCACAGTCACCAGAACTCAATCCAATAGAGGACATTTAGGATGTGGTGGAACGGGAGATTCGCATCATGGATGTGCAGCCGACAAATCTGCAGCAACTGCATGATGCTATCATACAATATGGAGCAAAATCTCTAAGGAATATTTCCAGTACCTTGTTGAATCTCTGCCACGAAGGATTAAAGCAGTTCTGAAGGCAAAAGGGGGTCCAACTCGGTACTTGTAAGGTGTACCTTATAGAGTGGCCGGTGAGTGTATGATTGTGGGTAAATGATGCCAAAAAATGTAAGAAATTATTATTGTAGATACAGTGCAATGAAATGTTGGAATAATAAATGGGTTGAAACTAATTACTTATTGAATAGGGGGAGCAGGGTGTAGTTAAAATTAACTGACTAAATAAAATATTTATACAAATGCCTAATGAAATATTTTAATAATTTGACTTTAGTCTCATTGACTAGATTTAAATGAATTGGCAAAAACAAAAGATATTTAAATATGTGATAGAGGAAAACTGAATAGGATATAAAACGTATTTATAATCGTTCTAATAATTAACTAAATATGTTCAGTTAGAAATATTACTGTATTTGAATATGGAATTGTTCCATATAAAGCAGTCAAGAGGGGAATATTGTTAATCAATGTAACAATTTTAAAATAACCAATTAATATTTTATAAAATGTAAATTGTAATTTATTCCTGTGATGTAAAGGAAATCCTTTAGTGTCACATGATCCTACATAGGTCATTGTAATATGCTGATTTGTATTTTAGTTTTTTTAATAATTAAAACTGAAAAGTGGTGTTTTTTATTATTATTTTGTTAATATCTGTGACATGTCTTATGTTGCGGAGTTATATTTTTGCAATAGTATACATTGTATGGGTCAAAATTATTGCTTTTTTATGCCAGAAATCACTAAAATATTGTGCAAAGATCATTTTAATGAAGACATTTATGTAAGATATCTACTGTAAATATATCAAAACTCAATTTTTGAGTAATGGGAATTGTTAAGCTAATCTACAGCTCTTTAAACAGTGATTTTTCACAGTATTCTTATTTTTTTACCCTCAGATTTCAAGTTGTTTTTTATATCAAATTAGATGCTCAGCTTATAGGTAATGTCTATCTCAATTTTTTACAAAGTAAATAGATTGAGCCTTACGGTTTTGTGGGTCATAAATACTCGCCCTTTACTGAAATGTTTATGAGTTTCATTTATCTGTGAAGTACAAAAGAAGAAGATAGCAAAGAAAAGAAGAGATTTCTTTCTTCTGTCGTACACAAAATAAGATATTTTGAAGAAAGCTAAACCTTTAACCTCATATTGTTTTCGACTCAGTGGTTTACAGCCATTTGAGAGAGAGAGAGTAAATCAATAGTATTAAATATGCATTTTAGACATAATAGAGGTAAACATAAATAATAAAGATAAATGAACATAATAGAGGTGAACTCTTTAAGAACGTTTAGGGGATTTTAATTTGAAATGGCAGGAGCTTTATTTTTAAGGCACCTC